CTCTTCCTCACTCGGTCCTGAGAACTTTTCACTTCCCTGACACTAAAAGGCATTATTGCATGTCCAATAAGCAACCCCAGAAGCAGACTCTGTAATAGAATCTGGGTAAGGCAGTTTATTTAAGAGGTGGTCCCAGGAAATATGCTAACCATCTACCTGTCTGTCCTTCCACTCATCCATCATCCATCTATCCATGCATCCCCCCATCCATCATCCATCCATGTATCATTCATCCACCCATGCGCACATCCATTCATCCATCGACCCACCCATACATACACACACACACACACACACACACACACACACACACGCCATTTATTCTCACCTTCTGTATTCCCAGCTGGACTCTGAGGACTCAGGTGATCAGATGTGATCCCTGACCCTGAGAAGCGCTCGCTCCTCTTTCAACAGCCATCACCAATGCCACTGCTGGGTCCTCTTTTCACTCAGTGCTGTGATTCAGCCCTCATATGCCTCTATCTTGGTTCGAAGACACATGGGGCCGAGTGGCAAACGCTTGAACTTGATTCCCTTCCTGGTTTCTCAGGCTCCGATTACCTAAGCCCAGGGCGACCTCATGCTCATAAAACATTAAAATGTCCCAGAAATTCCATCATAGTGGGCTCCAAACTCTGCTTCACCCAGCCTGCCCCTTCCACCCCACAAGCCCCCAGAACCCTTCTGCCAGACCGCTCACTCCAGTTTTTGACTAAAGCCCTATGGCTACCGAGGCCGAACCCCGGGCTTCAGATTCCCAGTGGTGGCCAGAGGTGACCCCGTGTGCACTGACCTCTCCCGGAAGTACTTGATGGCCTCAGGGTCTATGAAGGTCGGCTCCTCCCGGTAGCCCTGCTCAAAGACCTTGCGCTTGTGCCGGAATTCAATCACCGTCTTGGTGTAGGAGTTGAGCGTGGTGACAGAGGCTGCCATGCAGCAGGTAAAGGAGCCCCACGCCAGGCTGCCAAGAGACGAGGAGAGAGGTGCCAGTGAGGCTGGGCAGGGGACAGGAAACCCCACCCGCCAGACATCCATTCTCCCTGCACGGCTGCCTCGTCTGGGCCAGACCTGAGCAGGTGCCGTAGAGAAGAAAAACACTTGGTCCCTGCCCCACTCACAGGTCTGCTGTGGGAGACAGCATTTTCTGTACATTGTGATGCAAATGTGACAGAGCTCATTAGAGGGAGAGGAAAAGGGAGCGAGTCTTCCATCCAAGGGGGCTGACGACAGGGAAGGTTACTGGAATACAGCTATACCTGCACTGGGTCCTGGGGATGAGCGCGGCTCTGCCAGGGAAAAAGCATTCCAGGAAGAGGGAAGCGCGTGTGCGGAGGCAGGGAGGCACGAGGCGTGGGGAGCATCCCGCGTACTGTAGGGGGTTTGGGATGCCGGAGTAAGGGAGCGTGAGGAGATTAGTTGGAGCTGATAACAGAGAAGTAGATGGGAGCCAGACACCTTAAAAGCTGGTTTTCCAAGAGATTCGAATTACTTCCGTTCACGTGTGACCTTGGGGGAGATGCTTAACCTCTCTGACTCGTAGTCCTCACATTCGTTTTAATGGACCTAACAACAGCACCACCTCACAGGGTTGTCACAAGAATTAAAGATGGTGGGTTAAAAGCATGTCAGATCAGAGCCTGGCGCACAGTAGGCATTCAAGAAAGGTTGCTATCATTACGATCTTCGCCATCATCGACTGGTTTCTGAGCTCACTCTCTGAGCAATGAAGTTATTAAGCTCTCTGCCTCACATTTCCTCCATGCTCAGCTGGGGACGCTTGGCTGTGCTCAGCTGATGTGTACGCTGAGCGAGCCAGAGCTGGAGACCTCGCCAGCCAGGACTCAAGGCCATATCTGTGCAGACGGGAAGGGCGCTGTGGGGCTAGGAGCCTCAGCTGGCCCGGCCGCTGGTCTTCTCTGACCCAGTGCCCATTCTAGAAATGGCCTCCCGCCCGACTCCTCTGACCAGGCCGTGCAGTAATATTCATAACCAGGAGCGGGGCGCCCATCTTGCCCTCATTACAGCTGGTCTGGTTTCCGAGTCCTGTTCCCCAGGCTCCGCCTTGAAGACTGGTTTCCTCCAAACCAGGGCCTCAGTTTTGTTCTCGCCAACGCTCACTGCCTCCCAGCCTCCAGCCTCTTTCCGCCCGCCAGCCACGAATCGGGTCTCTCCACATCGCTGCCCCTGCATTCCTCAGTCAGTGCAGCCCACCTCCCGTACCCACTGCTCTGCTCTTTGTCAGCCTCAGAGCACCCAGAAGGAAAGCGCGGGGGAATCTGCAGATTCAGCCTTCCTCCCGGGGACCTGCGATCACCGTCTATCCCTTATTGCCAAACCCATTAATGGATTCTCCTCTTCTTTCATGATTAAGTTTAGATCTTCCAGAAGTTCTGAGTATCTATAATAGACAGCTGTGGAGTGTCGGCCTGGCCCCTCTAAGAACTGCCCTGTCCGCCAAAGGGTCCAGTAGGCGACCCTACCCCACACTCATAGATGATTGGATGAGGACTAAACATCTGAGCAAAGCTGATTTAATCAGACACTATCTCCTCTGAGCAATGAAGTTCAAGATTCTAGTTCAAGCTGGGATGTCTGTTGGAACTAGAGTGATGGATTTCAGAAGCTGAGGGTGGAGAATGAAGAAGCAGGCTTTTTCTGGGATCTTATGAGTACACATATGTTGGTTTTGCCTAACCAACCACCACTCTGGTAAGAGACCACTTCTACCCTCCTCTAGGGTCATGTGGTTTGTGTGGGACCAGCCTCACCCCCAGCATTTAGGGGTGAGCACATGACCTAGGTCTGGCCAATGAGAGTGTCACTTCCCCCTGGCCACAGTAATTGGTTCAGGATGGGCACATGACACCCAAGTCAGGCTAATGAGACTCAACCCCAGGACTTTTGCTGAAGCTATTAAGAAACTGAGCTCGCCTTTTGTCTGGGGTGGGATTTGAGCCAGGAACTGCTGGGGACTGTCTCGTCACCACATAACCTGAGAATGAAGTTGACCCAAAAGAAAGGAAAGCCACAGAAAGGAACTGGTTCTCTGAGCTGAAGCCACTATCCCCGGACTTTGCAATTATGGGAGCCCAAATTCCTTTTTTGGATTTTTCTTTCCTTAAGCCCGTTTGAATTGGGTTTCAGTCATGGGCAACCGAAGTTCTTATACAATTACTTTCCACAAATTCCCTTCTTTTCCCTAAGTTTCTTTTAAAGTGAATTTCTGGTCTTTACAGCCAGGGATCTTATCTATGACCCGGTCCGATCCCAACTCTGATGCTCCAACCAGAGGATAAGCATCGCTGTCTATCGCGCACCCCTGTTTAACTTCATCGCAGCCCTCATCGCGCTCTGTCATTCTCTTGTAACTTTCCTCCTGTTATTTATTATTCTTTGTTTTTAAATTAAACATTTTGTTTCGAGGTAATTATAGATTCACACGCAATTGTAAGAAATAATACAGAGGGATCATGTACCCTTTACCCAGTTTCCCCCAACGGTAACATCTTGCAGATATAGTACAAGCAGGATACTGACATTGGTACAGTCAAGACACAGAACATTTTCATCCATCACCACAATGACCTCTCCTGTTGCCATTTTATACCCACGTCCACTTCCTTCCCAACCCCTGGCAACCACTAATCAGGACTTCATTTCTATAATTTGGTCATTTCAAGAATGTTATATAAATGGAATCACACGACACATTGGTTTGGGCTTTTCACTCAGAAAAAAAAAACTATCTGGAGAGCCAACCAAGTTGTGTGCATCAACAGTGTGTTTCTTTATATCGCTGGGTAGAGTTCCCACCAGCAATGTATGAGTTTCTTCACATCCTCACCAGCATTTGGTGTTGTCATTATTTTTTAATTTTAGCTATCCTGAGAGACTTGTGATGATATCTCATTGTGGCTTTCATTGGCATGTCCCTAATGACTAATGGTGTTAACATCTTTTCATTTTCTTGTTTGTCATTTGTGTATCCTCTTGCAAAGTGTCTGTCATGTTTTTTGACCACTGTCTAATTGAATTGTTTTGCTGTTGTTCTTTACTGTTAAGTTTGAATGTGTTTACATATCCTAGGTACTAGTCCTTTGTCAAATGTGTACTTTACAAATATTTTCCTCCAGTCTGTATCTTATCTTTTCAACCTCTTTAACGAGATCTTTCCCAGAGCAAAAGTGTTTAATTTTGATTAAATCCAATTTATCGTTTTTTTGATAGTTTTGATCCTTTTGATGTCAAGTTTAAGAACTCCTTGTGTAGGTCTAGATTTTCTCTTATTTTTAAAAAGAATTGTAATAAGTTTACATTTTATATTTAGGTCCATGATCTATTTTGAGTTAATTTTTATATAAGGTATGGAATTTAGGTCAAGATTTGGGGGGCGGGGAGGGCTATGAGTATCTAATAGCTCCAGCACCATTTGTTGAAAAGGATATTCCGACCTCCACTGAATGGATTTGCACCTTTGTCAAAAATCAGTTGGGCATATTTGTACTGATCTATTTCTGGGTTCTTTATTCTATTCCATTGATCTGTATGTCTATCCCTCCACCAACACCACACATTCTGATCACTGTAGCTATACAATAAGTTCTACAATTGGGCAGAGTGATTTCTCCAGCTTTATTCTTTTTCAAAATTCTTTAGCTATTCTAGTTCTTTTGCCTTTCCTAGTAAGTTTTGGAACAATCTTGTCTGTACCTACAAAAAATTTCACTGAGATTTTAATAAGAACTGCATTAAATCTGCATACTAACCTGAGGAGAACTGATATCTTACCACAAACATGGTATATTTCTCCATTTATTTAGATCTTTAATTTCTTTCATTGGCGTTTTATGGTTTTCAGCCTGCAAGTCCTGTAGATGTTTTGTTAGATGTATAATGAAGTATCTTACTTTTTTCAGTGTAAATGGTATTGTATTTTTACTTTTGCCCAACTGTTCATTGCTAACTTATAGGAGTATCGCTGATTTTTGTATTTTTATCTTGTATTCTGAGACAATACTGAATTTATTAGGTGTAGGCATTTTTCATGTAGATTTCTTGGATTTTTCTGGATAGACAACCATGTGATCTGCAAATAGGTATAGTTTATTTCTTCCTTTCCAATCCGTATGCAACTGTTGTTTACTTTTCATGCCTTATTGCACTATCAAGAACTTCTTCTTATGGAGAAAGCATTCAATCTTTCACCATTAAGTATAATGTTAGCTGTAGGTGTTTAGGTGAATGTTCTTTATCAAGTTGAGGAAGTTCCCCTTTTTCCTAGTTTCCTGAGAGTTTTTATTTAATGAGAAGGAATGTTGAATTTCATCAAATATTTTTTTCATTGCTTGATATGATCATATAATTTTCCCTTTATGTCCCTTTATCCTCCCTAACTAATAATATGATTGCCTTAAATATTTCCTCTGCATTCATTTAAAACTAGTTCAGACCATGTTATAATTCGTGCTTCAATCATCAGGTTTGATCTAGAAAACTCAAGAGAAAAAGTGAAATTTTCTTTCTTCCTTCCTAATGTTCCGAGAGTCCTTAAAAATTTTTTTTTTCTCCTGTTCGGAGAACTTCCTTTAGCCATTCTTTTAGGGGAAGTCTGCTGGCAACACATTCCCTTAGTTTTCCTTCATCTGATGTCTTGACTTCCCCTTCCTCTCACTGGAGGATAGTTTGGTTAGAAATGGAATTCTGAATTGACAGCTCTTCTCGTTTAGCGCTTGAAACCTGCTATGCCACTTCCTTCCACCCTCCGTTGCTTCTGATGCAAAATCCACTGCCATTTAAATTGATTTTCCCTATAGTTAAGACATTATTTCTCCCCTGCTGCTTTCAATATTTTTTTCTTCGAATTTAGTTTTTAAATGTTTGACTCCGATGTGTCATGGTGTGGATTTCTTTGAGTTAATCCTGTTTGGAGATTCAGTTGGTTTCTTTATAGCTTTATGTCTT